CCACAATCTGAAATAAACTGTTCCCAAAACCTAGTGAACAATGCTACCTGTAGCGATAGGGAACTTACACAGCAGGTGATTAGATGATATATGAAACGTCTAAGGTCAGCTAATTTACTTGTTATAATGTTAATGATGCAAAATTTAAAAAAAAATATCCTTGCGTCTAATAAACTAACAAAATTTAAACATAAAACAAAGTAACCTACTCTATCTATTTTCTATATTTTCTTTTATCGGATACAAATTATCTCTTTCTCTCTCTCATTTATATATAGTAGTTTTTCTTCTATAACCGTCATAGAACAAATTGTCATGGATATCATAAAAACCTATTTAAATTAAGTATTTTCAAGTGTTATCCAAATTCTAAAAATCTACAATGATAGCAGAATATATCATGCAATTAAAACAAAGAGAATTACATCTTTTCAAAATGTACAATGTGTTATTGATTTGCTGTAATACTGAAGGTCATAATTTAAAATTATGTTAAATATTAATAAAGCATTAATGAAATTACGTGTTATTGCATGCGATTTGATTCATATTTTGAACAAATAACATAAAAACAAAAATTGTGAAAATAATGAACATTGATGTTTAAGGATATCAAAGCGAAAAAAACAAAGAAAGGCTAACCATATCGAGTAAATAAAGACTTTAAATATCTCCTTAGATTTAAAGTAACCTCAAGTCCGTGTCGCCAGCAATCGTCTCTTTGTAGTATTTTTAGAAACAAACATTTTAAAAGAGTAAGAACTTTCATTTTCTGAGTTCTTCATACTGAGGGGGTGAACTTAATTGTCCAAGTTCTTGGTAGTTGGCGATGTCTTCTATTCTATCATAAACATCTCTGTTAGCATCTCCTGTTGAATTGTACGGACTTTGTTCTTTCGTTGAGTCTCGTCTTATATAAAATTTTTCTCTCACTTTCCTGTAACAATAAAGAATTCACAGATAAGAAAGATACTTTTACAATTATTTTCTGAAATTAGCCATTTGATTTATTTCATCTACTTTATTGATAATTAGATTGAAAAAAATCTTACCACGCAATGAAAAAAATGTTGACAAATATACTTAAGATGAGACATGTAACTACACCATATAGAACAGAGTGGACGTCTGTGATTTTACTGCTCTCTGGAATCCGGTGTGTTGTCTTTGTAACATACTCTCCATTGCTCTGTATCAGAGGAATTTGATACTTCATTTGTAGAGAAAAAGCTGAAAATGTTTGCACGACGACGGAGGAAAACGAATAGCAATAGTAAAATCAGGTGACCGAATAACTTTTATTGAAAAACTATAATTTTCAATTACCATCCTCATTTCTATAGTAGATGGCGATCTTTTGCAGTCTATATATCCTTTTCGTAAGTCCACCATAACCCATGCCTCTGACGTTGCATTTACTGCCGTTTGTGAACAGCTATAGTAATCTTGTTTGGTATTTCCGTCAATAACTTTGTCTGCAGATAAACCCTATCTTACAGAACTCTGTATTGCTGTGCATGTTGTTCTTTCACAAATGTTATTTGTGTGTTGAAAACAAAAACGTCCTGTCAAGCTTGAGCGCTTTTATAACAAGTATATAGACGCTTTACAATCTATAGTGAGTATGACGTCATTGTAGCAGAATATTACAAAAAAGTTGTTTTGATTGTAATCAAGATGGAAAAGTGAAGATTAAAATTGGAAAACCCAAGACAAATTTTACCAATTTTAACAAAAATATTACGTGGCACTAATACGCTTCAAAAGTTATGAAAGATTAGCTTAAAAGAAAAGAAATTATCATCCGATTTTCTACCGTAACAGTGAATAACTCCAAGCAATGATATTGTCAGCATTCCCACTGGGTAGCCATTTTAAAAGAAAATGGATATTGAAAAGAAAAATCACAATTTATAAATTAATACTCAGGCTTTGAAAGAGTAAATTACAAGTTGGAGAGTTATTTGTCACCGACAAAATTACTCAGTTTAAAACATTCATGTTTAAAAATTAACAATGACAATATATTTTTAAGCATAAAAACCATATGATAGGAAACAACACTTGAATAAGTTGCATTATTGTTCTCTTGATATGAGAATTATACAATTCTCCACTTTGCTTTTAATTTATTTCCTTGTCCACAACAATATATACGACTTTTAAAGCAATTACATGTATGTATCAAAATGGTTCACATTTTTTCTCGAAATTAATAAATTTTCTTTAAATTAAAGTTCTTATCATAACTTATTTGCAGGTAATAGACTGTCAATTAAAATCCACGGTAAACAGTACTTTCTAATGATCGGTACATGTATTTTTAACTTTTTAACTGATGAGGAGTATTTTCTTAAATTACAATTTGCATCTCCTTAACCAGACCTTAAGATGTGCACTGAAAATGCCGAATTGGATACTTTATGTATACTCTTCAAAAAAAAAAAAAAGAAACGCATTGAAGAATTTTATTGACACATTGAACATAAGGATTATAGAGTGAAATGATGTATTGATAAAACAGAAATGTAGTTATCAACAGGAATATTATCTAAATATCATAATTACTCAAGAATTTTAAAATCATTGTCAGTTAAAGGTCATCAAGATCAATATCTGGTACATGTATGCCCCCTGAAGGCACACATGATGGCCACAAACTACATCTAATGCAAGCAAACTTGAATAATAAAAACTTTATAGGATTACACTCCCACTCCACATGTAGAGCTTCGATCAGCTGTTGCAGAGTCTGGGGATGCGATTGTCTTTGGCAAATTACGTCAATCCATTTTGCCCAATGCTGCCTAATTTGGTTTGAATCTGGCGATTCAGACGACTGTGGCAGAGACAGGTTGCTGTTGCTTTTCAAGAACGGGAGTATCAAACGAGCCGTATGTGGCGGTATTGTGAGATTGTAAAACGGTCCTCTAATGCATCAGTGGGGGATCAGGTGCTATAGAGGAGTGAACATACCTTGCTGACCGATCACACCCGCCGTGTGTTCCTTTTCATGATTAGGAAACAACGGAAAAATCTGTCGACGATTCCATGTGTAACGAATGCACTAACAATAAGTATAAACAAGAGGCCCATGGGCCACATCGCTCACCTGAGAAGCTTTGACCATTCTGTTCTTAACTAGATTTCCCCCTTGTAATACATATTGTGACCCCACCCTACCCCACTGATCATAATCTAGACAGATTTTTCCTATATACTTCTATGTAAAACTTTGATTCCCCATTGTAGCCCCGCCCAACCCCCGGGGGTCATGATTTCAACAATTTAAAATCTACACTACCCAAGGATGCTTCCACATAAGTTTCAGCTTTTCTGGCCAAGTGGTTCTTGAGAAGAAGAATTTTAAAGATTTTTCCTCTATATTTCTATGTAAAACTTGGATTCCCCATTGTGGTCCCGCCCAACCCCCGGGGGTCATGATTTCAACAATTTAGAATCTACACTACCCCAGAATGCTTCCACATAAGTTTCAGCTTTTCTGGACCAGTAGTTTTTTATTTTAACCCACTGCTGAAAATATTGATCACAACCTAGAAATCTCAACGAATTACATTCTTCCTGCTTAGTTACATAATGCTACAGCTTTATGTCATTAAGTTACTTCATTCTGTTAAATTCATGTATTCTGATTACGTTTAACACTTGTTTTCCTAATTCTACGTATTATTTTTTATTGTTCTTCAGTATAGACAATTTAAGAAAAAGGCTGTATTTAGAAGGGAGTATATTCAAATGAATTTAGTAATAGTTATCGTACTTAAAAGAACACTATACTAGACGTTTTCCAAAATGAAATAAAAGGGGCTTTCTAGAGTAAGACTTTTATAGACATTTTAGAAACTGATGATTATTGTTATGCAAAGCAGAAAAATAAACACTTATCTATTTTAGAGAAGGTCAAAGACACGTCAATCTACGATCAACTCCACCTACATACATATAACATAATTTATAAAGAATGTTTCCTAACTTTTTATTGTACCTGATACCGTTGTATTTCTTTGTTACAAGTTTGCTAATAATAATTATATTTGGAATAATTGGCAAATATTAAATTGTCAAAAGTGAAGATTAAAAGCCAGGAAAAATATTTCTAAGCCATAAGGTAATCTTTTAAAAATAAATTACATATTAATTTTTTTTTTCAAAGAAATTTAAAAGTAATAGAACAATCATTTACCATGATCTCCTGAAAAATACTCGTTCATAATTCAGAATATATATTATATACATAATGAACATATCCAACCGCCAATGAAACATATTTATGTCAAAAAGCCTTTGAGTCTGATATCTTCTTATTAAAGTGTTTTTTTTTTCCGACGCACATGTATATACATTGAATAATCATAAACAAGACCATGTCAATTGAACAACATACATGAAACTATAGTAGTCGTATATCAGTCTTTTACATGTTAGCTACAAAAAAGTATATTCTCTGCTTAAAAAAAGAATTTCATTCTTTCATTTTATCTCGGATATTTATATACAACTGTGAAATATTAAACTTTTGTTATTGAGGACCTTTTATAATTATTGACAAGAACAAAACAATTAGGTCTGAAAATAGCACATTAAAAAAAACAACAACAAAAAACAAGTTATCTAGGCTATGGCATAAAAGCTACATTGACTTTAGTTCTTCGTAATGAGAGGGTTGGCGTAAATCTCCAAGTTCTTGATAACCTGTGTTTTCCTCCACTTTATCATTGACGGTTGTGTTCACGTGTCTTGTAGAATTCTGGTGGCGGCTTGTTTCTTTCAAATTTTGACTTTTATTGATAGTTTGCTTAATTTTTCTGTAATATTGTAAAACATATATCTATATACTGTATCTCAATAAAAATTATATTCAACTTTCAAAAAAATAAATGACAATATATCAGCATGTGTTAAAATATGACTCCTATTTCCTCTTTGAATTTGACAGGATTATCATTTTAACAAAAAAGACATAGAAAGTTTAAAACTCACCGGGTTATGAAATATATGTTAAGAATCACACTTATCAGCAGAACTGCAATAACCCCGTAAAAACCTGAATATGAAATGCTCTTCTTTGATGCCTGGTTCAATTCTTCCATAGAAAAGATATATATAAAAGTGGACAGAATTAAAAAAACAACAACAAAAAAGAACGAATGAGCAGACTTGTTAAAAATGAATGAAAAATAAACGTTCTGTAATGTTAGGGATTATTTCAGCCCACCCTGCTTGTTCTTTTGAATAGATTAGTCAATTCTAAAATTAAAATGAGTCATAAACTTTGAATTGTTTTAAAACGAGACGATACTTATTACATCTTTTCTTTGAAAAATATAAGATTTAATTACAAATTTCATTACAAATTATTCATTTGTAAATAAAATTCTTGTAATATCATTCTTCTCAAGAACAAGGTATTTACAATAAAAATTTTTCTTCATAAAAAATATTGAACTTTCCGGGGATCTTTTATGGAACTCCTTTTCATAAGTAAAATAAATATTTTCATGACCCCCCCCCCCTAAACACAATAAAAGCAAATACATGTAATCACTTTATTACCTTCAATACGTTGGACATCACAAAGGTTCGTATTGCAGCCTTCCTTACACGATCCATTGTTTGAAAAACAAGTTCCGTTTAAACATACTGGACTACATAACTGATCACATAGGGGTCCATAATGGGTTGGACTGCATACTAAATGTAGGCAAAGAAATCGCAAATGTTAGTAATTTCTCTATTCAAATATGACTGTTTCGTTGTATTCTGGCTTCGCTATAACTTACTAACGTTGTAGGTTGCTTTTAATTTTTAGCTTTCAAAAGAATTGTCTCTTGAATTCGCAATTATAAAATGCTAACATCGCGAATTTAAAATGCTTTAAACTTTGTAACAAATAAAATTAGTTATTAAGACGCCTCATATCAGGATACACCTAATTAAGCGCCAATAAGGAATAGTAAATTGCATAAATTGCATAATTCTTTTCATGTCACTACTGAGTCTATCAAAATTATAGAGATAAGGTAAACCAGTGTAAATTCGCGTTTAAAGCAGTTTCAATAGTAGGATAAAACATAAATTGAAGTACAGATTTACTATCATTTATTATTGATCCGGTTTTGAATATAAAGTTCTTTTTCAAACAAATGAAGTTATAGATAATTGTGAGAAGATAAAATGGTAAAATTGTGAAAAAGGAATTCTTTATAATTACCAGTAATTCCTTTTATAAGGGGAGGTATCTCACCAAGGCATGCAACAATTCACAACAATCAATGTTTTATTGTGACAATGACAATATCACAAACAGGATAAATGGCTCTTCAGAAAGAGTTTTTAGTTTTTAGTGTTAAGTTCAAAAATTAATAGTGGTTTACCATCACAATTGTTCCCCTGCCATCCAAATTTACAAGAACAACTCCCTTCGACTTGATTACAACCCGAAATACATCCAGCACCACAGGTATGGAGACAAGTAGCACCAAATTTTCCGACAATGCACCCGGAATTGCAATAACCATCCTCTCTTCTGCATCCGTTTTTACAATGAAGGTTACAGATCTGATCACATAGGATTCCATACATGCCAGCTGAACATTCGCCCTCACATTCCCCGGAGTATCTAGAACAACCAGAGAGGCATTCTTGGCTGCACTTGATTTCACACTTTTCTAAATAAAACCCATTCACACACCCATATATGTAGAATCCCGTGGTATTTTCACAAATCTGTTCTTTACAATTGACGTTGCAGTCTTGGGAGCAATCAGGTCCATAATGCTTGTTATCACATTCTACAAAACGTAAAATCTAATATCAATATGCCTTTTGAACAATGGTATATAGAAGTTGAAGAAAAAGGCATGTTATATATATCTTTTTTTTTAATTAAATATTAACCGAAATAATTTACTATACTGTTGAACAAACAACAATTTATACACCAGTAGCATTGAATGCAATGGTATATACCGTAATAAGTGCAATTAATTTCCTTCTTTTGCAGTCGGAATATTACACAAAAGACTGTTTAGATAACTTAAATTTTACTTACGTACTATTGAATGCAAAAAAAATCAGAAATAGATACATGTATCACAACAGAAAAGATGAATTCATTAAACTTTTGACATTTTGTATTCTTCTACTAATCAGCTTGATTATCCTCAATCAATTTTTTATTGCCAGATATCTAACAATTAAGATTTTTTATCCTTTGCTACATCCTCTACAATATGTCATTTTTATACAAAATACTTTTTATTTTTTAAAACAATCTTGAAATGTATTTTGAGATAACTACACTGTAGTTTTGCAACGAAATCAATGGATAATACGGATTTTGTGTGTTTCTTCCTAAATCTTAAAGGAGATAAAACATTTTATGAGGGGTGCTCATAAGGGAAAAATATGACGTGCGTTAAATGCATCGAGTATTCTAATTAAGGAATGAAGCGTTTTTCAACTTTTGTTTTACGATATAACATAACTTAGGGCATATACGCTTTTTTATAAATCGAAATAAGCTTCATTCCTTAAAATTTAATTTTAGTGAGACATTTTTTTCCACCGGAAAAGGACTTCAAGTATAGCATATTTTAAAAGTAACGTGAAGCGGAGTTATATGTTTTTGACGTAACTAATTGTGACGTAGTTATTTTATTTAAAAAAATGGATATCTTTTAGTCAATTAAATTTCGTCTTACAACTAAAATTTAATTATTTGAAATTAAACGTATCAAACATGAAGCGGTTTACATGTTCTGATGCCTTTAGTATCACTCACTAGATAAACAGTGCGAAAAAGGCAAGAAGTATTTGAAATATTGCCAGAAAAATCGACGTCAGACATCAGAAATGGACAGCATCCAATCGTATAATTACATGTACATTGTAATGTTTAATATGATAGATAGGTAAGGCACAAAATATTTATTCAAAATACTTGAAATTCTTGGAATATTTTTAAATTAGGCATTTGTCCAAATTTTCTTTGGACAACTCCCGTAACTTAAATCTTGAAAAGTATCTTGTACTCCAAACCATAGAAATTTAATATTAATCTTAAAGATAGACGGAGCATTTAATTGATGAATTTAATTTTGTGAAAATGTTCTTCCTGGATTTATTTTCCAAAATAAAATCAGAAAATCAAATACTGATTTTTATGCTGGGGCAAAACATTAAAATGTTTTACTCCTGACATATATTTGGTATATGCACATTAAAATGTATAATTGACTCTCATAAATGCTGCTTGTGACCTGTCTAACATTTTTAAGCTGCAAATTGTACATTAGACATTGCTTTTTTTTGTTGCAATTCTGAAATTGTATTATTTTCAACATCAACCATGGGCACAGCTTGATTAAACAAAGGTCACTTCACGCCATTTAAAGCTCATTACTTTGAATATTATTTTCAAAATTTCAAATAAATGTGTTGCACTTCTGACATTTTTAACATAATTCTTGGGCAAAACAATTTTGTAAATTGAGATATCAATGAGATATTTGGCAGGTATTCAGATATTAACTAAAAAATATGCTGAAGCATAGAAATATATTGTCATTGCCGATTATTAACCGATAGTTAACTGACTTCCGAGAGACCGCGAATTTCATTTCAAATGCACTTGGCAAAGGAACAGAAATTAATTCATGAGAGTGAATATTAAAGTGAATCATAAACATACACTCGTACATTGGATTCTATCTCTTTTGCCTACATACAATGTAGGTACATATTTGCTCTGCACCCTTGAGAGCTTGCTTATTGATAACAGTTCATTAATTTTTTATATGCCATTCATATATATACAGAACGTCGAGGATTAAAAAATACTAGTGAATCATGTTAAAAATTAAAGACAAATAGTGCAATATGTAGGATCATACCGTAACAATGAATAACGCTGATAAATAAAAAGATCCATATCCCACACAGAGCACTCATCTCAATTAAGAAGGAGGTAAAGGAAAAAAAAATACTATTACCCCGTTTAAAGGTCACTGGCTTTCAGATAACCTAATTTTTTCCTTAGAATGTAAACACTGCGATTTATATTAGGCTAGCATCAGTTTTGAAAATTAAAATAAGTAGATAAGGATACAAGGAAACGAAAAGAATAACTTCAAAATCAAGATGTGTTTGTGGAACACTGATGTCACCGTATGGCAACATAGCGATGGTTAAAATTTCTCAAATGCAGATCAAATATGTTGGTACCTAAAGTAAGGTATTTTTTCAGAAGAAATACAAAATGTGAATTATAAGATCCTAGCACCACCTGTTCAAAAGTTATGACCAAGGTTATAATTATTAAAGGTAGGACAAACTCTTGGGTAATGGTCAAAGGGTCAAGGTTGTTGATTTCTAAGGAAAGGCCTTATCTCAAAGATTACTTATGGGAAGTATGGCCCTTACCGTTTAAAAGTTATGGCCAAGGTCAAAGGGTAAACGTTTTTGATATTCAATGAAAGGTCTTGTCACAAGGATTATTTATGTGAAATATGAAATCTCTAGCCCCTACTGTTAAAAAATTATGGCCAAGGTTTAAGTTTGTAAAATGTTGGTCAAATTCCAAGGTCAAGGTCAAAGGGTCATAAGTGAAGTATAACAGCTTTAGCCCTTACCGTTCAAAAGTTATGGCCAAGGTTAAAGTTTTTTCGTAAGTACGGAAATCTCCAAGGTCATTGCCAAAAGTCAAAATTATTGGTTTCAAATGAAAAATCTTGCAAAAAGAATTAAAATTTTAAATATGAAATTCCTAGTATCTACCGTTTTCAAAATAAGGGCCAAAGTTAAAATTGGGTTTTTTAGGTAAAAGTGGGTCAAACTCCATGGTTTAAGTCAAAGGGTTAAAGTTCTTGGTATGAAATAAAAGGTCTTGTCACAAGGATTAAATACGTGAAGCATGAAACCCCTATTCCTAGCCTTTCAAAAATTATGGTCAAGGTTGTTTTTTAAGAAGTTCAAACTCCAAGATCAATGTCAAAGGGTCAAGGTTTTTTGTATCCAATGAAGCGTCTTTTCACAAGGATAACATATGTGAAGGTTGAAAGTCCTAGCACTTACTTTTTAAAAGTTATAGCCGAGGATAAAGTTTTTTCTTAAGTACAGTAATCTCCAAGGTCTTGCTCAATAGGTCACGTTTGTTTGTATCCAATGAAAGGTCTTTCTACAAAAAAGGGATATGTCAAGTATAAATTTCCTGGTATCTACTGTTCAAAAGATATGGCCAAAGTAAAAGTTCAAAATTTTTGTGTAAAATGGGTCAAACTCGAAAGTCAAGGTCAAAATGTCAAAGTCGGAGGTTATCAAAGTAAGGTCTTTTCACAAGAAAAACACGTGAAATATGAATGTCATAGGTCCACTAAATAAAAGGTAATGGGCAAGGTTAAATTTTTTTGCTGACAAACAGACAAATAGACAGACAGACAGACAGATGGACAAGACAAAAACTATATACTCCCGAAACTTGAACATTTGAACATTTAAAACATATAATAGAATAATGTCACTGAAGTGTCAATTAACAATAAATGAAGGTCGTAAAAGCTCTCATAGTGTTTGGAAAGAAAAAGTTATTTTTATTTTATTTGAATTCATGTTTTCATTTTTTTATCTATCGGCTGAGTCTCTTGACTCAAAACATGAAAAATCAATACAGTTAGGAATGTGAAATATATTCAACTCTTTTTTAAAGGAAACACAAAGTCAAATTTTCTTTCTTTTACTTTTCCATTTGATCAACGAAAAAGTAAAAATGGGGTGAACTTCATTTTAAACCAAAACTTAAATCAATGCAAAGTTAAAAAAAAAAATAAGGATATTCACTGTAAAGATCGTTCGATATTTCTTTAATTTTTTTTTCTTTCGCTTTGTTACTGAGAACAATGTAATAATTAACTTGTGAGTACCTTAACGTCATGTTAGATATATGCATAAATTAAATAATCTGTATGACTGCTACTTCCCCTCCTTCGTCAAATTGGTTTATTGCCCTCTGAAATCAACCGCTCCAAATGGATATCCTATCCAAACGACTAGCTACAGTAAATATTATGTTCTGTCTTTTAAAAAAAAAGGTATTACTATATTGGATACAAAACGCAGTATACAAAGAAACCATTATAACATTGAGTCTATAATGGGTACTTAATCTTATTTAACAGTTAATAGTGTTAAATTGTGCTCAAGGCAATGAAATAATACTGTTTTATCGAGAAAAAAAACTTTATAATTGAAACCCTCTGATCAATACAACCCATTACTTCAAATGAAACGTTTTTGTTAACAAGATATTCTAAATGCATGAAAAGTCAACATAGTTAGGAATGTGAAATATATTCAACTCTTTTTTAAAGGAAACACGGAGCAACTTCTTCCGTTTCCTGACAACTAGGGAATAAATCAAATATGCAGGTGATAAGGGTTATCCGCTACATAAAGAAGGGAAATTA